TCTACTAGCTTGTTCTCTGTGCTCATGGGAATTATTGGCAGTGCAAAGCTTCTTCAAGCAATATCAAGAGACAGCCTGCTACCTGGGTTCTCCATATTCAGCCAGGGAAGCAAGAAAGCTGATGAACCAACTTTTGCCATCATTTTCACATTCATTGTTACCCAATTGACAATGCTTGGCGACCTCAATCAAATCGCCAGTTTTGTAACAATGACTTATCTTGTAAGTACGATTTGGCGAAACTCTACGAGACTACGAACCCTCCTTCTCCACACCCAGTCTCTGATTTCAATTGCATGTTGCATCGACAACTGCGCTCTCCTGATGTGTGATTTTGTGTTTTGATGTATACATCTGTCATTGATGCTCGATTCGTTATGTTATTTTATGTTCGTTTGTGGCTAGGGTCTCATTTTCATACTAAAGAATTGTTATGGGTAGCATTAGCTAACAGTGTTAGATGACCTTTCTAGTCATGAACCTAGCCTGCTTCCTCCTTTCAATCGGTTCTGCGCCTAATTGGCGTCCTAGTTTCCACTTCTTCAACTGGCAGACTGCTTTTGCAGGAGCAATATTGTCAGGGGTCGCAATGTTCTTTGTGGACGGACTTTATGCAACAGGATGTGTGGGCATGCTCCTTCTACTATTTCTTCTTATACATTATTCCGTAGAGCCAAAGAGCTGGGGAGATGTATCTCAAAGTTTGATATATCATCAAATTCGAAAATACCTTCTTAAGCTTAAACAAGAGCATGTCAAATTCTGGCGCCCTCAGGTTATTTTACTTGTTAACGACCCACGTCGACAATACAAGCTTATACAATTTTGCAACTCTATGAAGAAAGGTGGTCTATATATCCTTGGTCATATTATTGTTACAGATGATTTCAGCCAGTCCGTGCCAGAAGCTGTAAGTAGAGCTTCAACGCTTCATATACCATGGGAACAAGTCGTACCATTTAAGCCACACATACTGATTACTGAGAGTAGCGTCGTCAGCAAGCAGCGTGGAACAAATATATTGATTTTTCAAAGATCAAAGCATTCGTTAATATTGCCATATCCCCGGCTCTAGAATGGGGTGCTCGCAATATTATTCTCAACGCAGGACTAGGGGGAATGCGGCCCAATATCGCAGTTATGGGGTTTTACAATTTAGATGACCTGAGAAACGCTCAGCCATTGACAGACATTTCGGAGCCATCCGAACCATCCTCGGGCAATGTCAAGAAATTTAAGACCCCCCCTCGTTATAGGCGTCAGAACAGTAAGGAGAAGAAGATGCAAGGAGTGCTCCCCACTGATTTATGCCGAACCGAAGGCATGATGAGCGTAACAAGCTATGTCACTATCCTAGAAGATCTACTCTTCAAGCTGCAAATCAACGTTGCAGTGGCCAAAGGTTTTCGAGATCTGGAATTGCCAGATACTGAGAACACCAAGAAGTATATTGATCTTTGGCCTATCCAAATGTCTGCTGAAATCGCAGCTGAAGGAGATGTAAAGCAGAATGTTTTGACCACCAATTTTGATACTTGTACGACACACAATTTTTAACTTCCTTTCTTTTGAGGTCTTTGAGGTAGCTGACAATAGCAATAGATACTTTGATACTCCAGCTTGGTGTCATTCTAAACACTGTACCTGCTTGGAAAAAAGCATACAAACTTCGCGTGGCTGTATTTGTTGAATATGAAAACGACGTGGAGGAAGAAAGAGGCAGGGTAAAATCTCTACTCGAAAATCTGCGCATTGAAGCTGAGATTCTTGTATTCTGGTTGGCATCAGGAGATATTCCATCCTATGAGATCATCATCAACGGTGCAACCCCTGGTTCCAATCACGTTGAAGAGGTAGAGCAGTGTCTTAAGGGACAAGACTGGTGGGATGACATACAACAGCTTCGTGGGAACCATGGAGCTACCGCATCTGCCGCTGTAGATTTGGCTCAAATAACAAGCATATTCCATACTGCCCCCACTTGGCCGGACGCATCATTTCAACAAGGCGCACGGTATAGACATGTAAGTACTCGCTTGATCCACCTCCTGTTCTTCTAAATGTTCATAGTTTTCCTCTCCTTGTATATAAATGGTTTTCTGATGGTGACTGACCTGACCTTAAAATATTTCCTAGGCCGAACGATTTCTTGGACTCCGACGGCTGCTAAGAAAATCAAAGAAACGACAAAATATAAGCAATCTAAAAGGCTTAAGTGTTAGTATGGGTATGCGATCTCAGAGATTAGAGCCCGATGTCATGAGCCGACATGCTAGTCATGGAAGTGCTAGCGAAGATTCCGATAGTGATTCCGAGCTTCAGACCGAGGAGCCGGAATCTGATGACGAAAGTGCGGCGAGTGAAGGAGACCTCGATGATTTTGAATCAGATAGCGATATCCATGCTGGAGAAATCAAACCACTTGCACGAAGAAGAAGCCATGGTGATAGCTTACGCGGTCCTCCCATATCTAAGCGCGCAGCGGGAGCAGAGGAACCGGTTCCTCCTAAAATCTCGAAATCTACAAGACAATTTATAATGGATACTTTCAACCAATCACCAAATTTATCGATGCCAACCGCTTCAGCACCTGTATCACCACCACATTTACCTCAATCATCCGGTCTCCAGCCATCACCAGTTTTAGACTTCCCCGGCTCTGTGCAGCCATCGAAAGACTCACAGAAGTCTCCCGCCGCTCCTGATTTAACAAGATCGTCATCACTCCTGCAACCTCAAAATCCTGGAAAGAGACCTCCGATATCTAGACATGCATCTACTCCGAAGTTCTCATCAAAACCAGTTCCCATAACCCGCGTGGCCACAGAAGACGGCCCCGGTCCCAGCATAATGTTCGCCGAAACACCCTCTCCACCAACCGCTCGCAAATCAGCACCTCGTATCCCTTCCGCCTATCGTTCCTCTCCCTCCTTCGACCGTATTTCTGAAGCATCCAATTCTTCCAATCCTACCCTTAATCCTCCTTCTCCTACCCGGTCTTCATACTCTTTGCAATCTATCCCGCTTAGTTTTAATGATTTGCCCTGTAGAGCACAGCATCTAATTCTGAATCAATTGATTAAGAGTCAAAGTGGGGAGACGGCGGTTATCTTCACTACTCTACCGAGTCCGGTTGAAGGAACGGGTGGAAGTAGAGAGGCGAGTGAGGGATATCTTGGAGATTTGGAGGTGTTGTGTGGAGGCCTGCCGCCAGTGTTGTTGGTGCATAGCAACAGTATGACGGTTACTGTTAGTTTGTAGGGAGTGAGAAACGGGATATTGAAGGGTAATACAAAAGGCATTAGGGGGTCGGGCAAGGTGTGTTGGATTGGGTATGTGTGCATGCGGAATCGGAGTTAGGTGGGCGTTACCTGGTTCAATAGGATAGGCAATAGACATAAATATAATAAAGAATACATTCAGGTTAAAAGTTACTTTAGAATCTTGCTATTTGTATCAAATGAGAGCGTCAGCCACGATACACAGGGAGTCAGTTCAATCTCGTTGGCTCATAACCAGAATCTAGAATTTGATCATTGCAATCCCAAACGACCTTGGCGCAATAATAGTACCCTAAATTACTCTAGTTTATTCCACCAAGAGTACCACAATCTCGTAGGGATCATTTTCCAAGTACTGAATCATTGAAATGATGAGGCTGTTATTTATCAATTCTTCATTGTAATCAAGAGAAGCCATTTTCCATATCCCATAATCATTAATATCTCTTCATAGTCGTCTCCCGCTTTGTACTCCAAAAATCCCCCGCGCTTTGCTTTTCAAGGGAAGCGAATTCTGCGCAAAAAGCCTTATAATTATGTGATTCTTAGCCCTTTGAACCCTGCTTTTGAACTTTTGATATATGTATAGTAGTTTCATTATGCAGAACTCAGGTACAGAATGAATTGTATGCGACTTGTAACCCAGATGTTTCCTCTTCTGTGACAAGCTCGGTCGTCTTCTAGTGTAATGAATCGCTGGAATTTGAGTTTTGAGGTATAGGGCTTTCCGATGGGTTTAGTAAAGGGTTAGTTGATGACGGGGTTTTTGGGGTAGTGAATTGTGACTTAGAGACATTTTCTGAATCGTCAGAAGAGTGATATGAATTTTGGGTGTGGAATGGAGCAGTGTTTATATCCAGGTCTTCGAGTAATCCTAGTAGCGATATGCATTTTTCTTCCATGACTGTGGTTGGTGATAATATGGGAGATCTATCTAAGGCGAGGAGAAGCTCCAAGAACATATCCTTGTCTTCCAAAAACCTGGAAGGCCATGTTTCCCTCGCTCTTCATTCGATAAGCAATGTTCGTCGAAAGAGTCATCTTCAGAGTATGCAGAGTCTGAAATAACACTAGACTCGTTAGCAAATTGATATTCATCGTCTTGCACGCGAGTAGTACTTGGGCGGTAATTGGAGACTCATTGCTCCTCAGCTAGATCTTCGACATATAATCTTTCAGTCCATTCACTGACAGGACCGGAAGAAAGTTGCCATGAAACGCCGCTGTAGGAGGGGATTGAACCTAGGAAGTGAAGCTGCACGACTAAAGAAAAATACTAATCTTTCTCAATAAAGTCCACAACAAAATCTTCATCGAAACCGTAATCTACCAAAGCTTCAGAGAGTACATCTCTGTAGACCTCTTTGCGGTATCTAGACAATCGGTACAGGCGATCTGGTGAAAATGAAGTAAAGGGTGGTATTGGATCGTGGAGATCAAATCTAGGATTTCCCAAGGACTTAAGGAATGTCGTCCAAATAATTTTATGGCATTGCATGTTCGCCTCTAGACTTTCGACGGAGGCAACTAAGTCTTTGAAGGAGGCAATTTTCTCGTCGAGATTCAGGTCGTCCAGTATCTGGTCCAAATGGCCATTATCGCTAAGGTAAAAAAAAATGTATCTGGAAATGATTCGAAGATATTAAACCCCTCGCTACCTCCTTTTATGCAACGGGTGAGACGAGTGTTGTACCAATTCCAGACTTCATCCGCAGTTGGTCATGCTAGAGGCCACAATTCCTGGGTCTTTGAGAGGTTACAAACGGGACGTTTAAATCCATCAATTTGCACTTGCCAATCCAAGTTCTCCAAGCCATGTTCTCGAAGTGGAGCGAGGGTACTATTCTTGATTATGGTTCGCGCTAAATGCAGCAGCAATTCAGTATCTGGCTTTGAAGTTGGTGACAAAGCAGCTATGGTCATGAGCGGCGATTGACCAGCTCTATCCTCCTTTATTCTTGGCACTCCTGGATCCAGACCATGGTGCACCATTGCCTCAAAGACGGACAGCAGACCTTCGATACCACGCTGCGGGGGAATAGATCGATGCTTGAAAATTTCGATAATTTGGCGCAGTGTTAGTTCCAAGAGAGATCTCTCAGCCCACAAACGATCATATGGTGAGGCATGTCCATTTATAAAGAGCTCTCTAACCTCTGCCAGGTTACAAGAGATGCAAGCGTTGACAATTGAAGCATTGCTATTGATTATATTGTACACTCGTAACGCGGGTTCGGGGGCAAAGGACGAAATAGCGAATCCTTGCTCAACAATAGAGCAATATATACCCAACTGAAGTAACTCCGGATTTGGGAACAATTCCACGTTCGTCTGAGTGACAGTGAGTGATCGTATGTTGGCAGCATCAGTGTCGGATTCATTGAAAGTTGTAATGATAGACTGCACAGTCAATATACCAATAGCACGAGAATTTTTCTTTTCTAAGATACGCTGTTGGACAACTTCTCGTCGAGGTCCAGTTCCCAAAATCGGTTTGAACTTTTATAGACTCAATACCCCCAAAATCTCGATTGTATTTGGTCTCAAGATGGAACCCCAACAAGACTTCGCAGAATATGCTTTTCACGAATCCTGGTATGCCCACTGGCAGTAACCTTAAGCCCTCTGAAGTGGCTTTCAACTTTTCGCTAGATTTATTTGTTGTACTTGCATTGTAAAGCGCCTCATGGACGTGAACGGCTGTTTCGGACACTATGGTAGTGGAAGCAGTGAATTCTGATGCTGAAATTGCGTTGACCGCGTTGCAGAGGTCATTGATTTTTTTAAAAAGGTCATTCTTAAATACAGAAATGGCTTCCTTTGTATTGCATGCAGCAACGTGTACTTCATCCAAACGTGCTGGGATCGTACTGACAACCTTCGAAAAATGGCCGAGATTCGAGACTAGAGAGATCTTCTCGCTTGATGACTTTGTCGTGTGAAAGCTTTCGATTTTCCAGGTGTCTTCGCCGATGAGTAAGTTGGACTTCTTGTAGATTAATTGGAACTTACAATATTATATTAACCTGCGTTATAGCTATGTCGTGCTTGGCTCTATTGATCCTGGACGTACTTTGCGCAGGTATCTCTTAAAAACACAAACTTGAGTTTACTCCTCTTCCTCCCGGAAAAGTTGTTGGTCGCAATCAACTTTATTAGGTTCTGCACAGCTTCTTGCGCTGTGTTCAGAACCGATCGAACTGCATGCATCCGACCACTCGCTGTCAACTGAACACCAGAGGTTTCCAAATCTTGAAGAACGTTGCGAAAGCTGTCAATGATGAGTTCAAGAGAGCTCACTTCGCTTCGAAATTCCCGGACATCGTCGTCTGCTTCCTTGATTCGATCAATTGTTCGACAGACATATTCGCAGCCTTGCACGAGCTGGCCAGCAAGACCAAGGAAAGCAATAACTGACGCGCCTGATCCGATGGCTTCCACCATGGTACAAAAAACAACAACAAAGAATGGAAGAATGGAAGGATTTATAGAGTTTCAAGAATCTGCGAATAGATTTGAAGACTGCTTTTGAGGGGTTTTGGCCTCATGTCTCTGCATCAAGATTGCTTTCGCATTGTGGTAATGATCAATGAGGCTCGGTTGGCATAGTTCGTACAACCAGAATGTCATAAGAGCGTGATATTCTGCAGAATCAATCGGGGAGTTAACCATTGCCAACCCCATTGCCAATCATATCGTCAATTAATTGATTGGGAACCATTCAGTCTCGAAATAGGAACTCTGATTGAGCCCATTTTCAGTCCATCTCGAGTGCAATGAACATTCACGATGGAAGCAAACTACTACTCTATTTCATGCCTTTTGAGATATACTTGAAAAGTGTATCAAGAAGATGCCTAGCATTGTTTCCTCATGTTGTAAGACCAAGCTTTCTTTCTAAGATGATTGACTTAATTATCTTAAGACTTCACAAGTCATCGTTGATGAAGCCTAATCAAAAAAGCATACCTGGTAGTTGCTGCACCATGGGATAGTACATCACCGTAGTGTATCATCTCGATCATCAAATCATCAAATCCCGCAACCGAGCTCTAGTTGAACTTGTTCAAGATAGTCTAATCACATATTTGAATAGCTATGCTTTAAAGTATAGGAATGCATCTCAAAGTTACCTAGTGTTGCGCATAATCACTACCTCCGAAATGTAACATGAAAAGAAGTCCCTTCAATAATGTAATCTGTCTGTCTGTCCGCAATGGAAAGGAAATTTACAAGTCAATATACTGTGATCACGTGAATGTAATTTACACGAGAATTCGCGGATCGCGTCTCTGCGTGTTTCCCAACTTCGCAGTTAAACAAAAGTTCGATAAGTAGCAACAACGACAACAACATCATGGCGGTACCTGTTGAAGATGGCAGTTTACTGCATGGTCCCACGTAAGTGATTGTTCAACCAAATTAATAGATTTATAGTTCGAAACTAATGGTCTTCAATACAGCACTTCTCCCTCCTCACCACCGTCTCGAGTATCCTCGTCCTACAAACCCCTGTCTACATTTGCACTCTCCAAAGCAAAACAATATCAACAGCAATATGGCGATATGTACTTTTTGAGATTAACTTCTCTAAAGAAACCAGTTGAAGAAATTGCGAGCGCGGCTTGGGATGGATTTCAAATTTCTGGAGAGGAAGTGCGGAAAGTAGAGAGAGTGTTGGATGTGAGACAGGGAGAATTATGTTGGGTGGCAGGTACGATTTATATGAATATGCCGTTGAAGCCGAACATTTTGGAGGATATAAGTAAAGATGTAGGGAATCCCTTTTCTTATTTGAGCAATTGGAGTTTTCTCGGTGAGAATATGAAATCATGATACTGGGATACTAATTGTTTTCAATGAGTAGCATTGGATATCAGCGCCCCCACCTCGGAGGAAATATCTCTCTAGTGATGGCGAAGACGAAATAATGCTCGAGGATGAATCCGGACGATTGCGATTAATTGGAGGACAGCTAAATAAAGAACTGTTGGTGACAGGTTGTATAGTAGCAGTAATGGGGACAGAGAACGCAAATGGAGATTTCGAAGTAGTGGATATAAAGGTACCAGATTTACCACCGCAGGAACCAAGATGGGAGATGTCAGGGGGGAAAGAAGAAGAAGATACAGATATGGACACAGAAAAAGCAGGGCGCAAAAGAATTGCCCTCGTCTCCGGCCTCTCATTCTCTGGAACCAGCGCCGAAAATTCGCTCGAAAAGGCCCTCCTGACCGAATATCTCCTAGGCGAAAGTCTAGACTCCTCCTCCCAAGCTGATGTCTCTAAAATAAGTCGTCTAATAATAGCTGGCAATAGTATTGCCTCGGATCTCGATAGCATAGCACATGATACCGTGGGTAATACACGCAAAGCACAGAAGAAATACGGCTATGATGCCAGCGCCTACAATCCCGCCCCCACCGCCCATTTTGATAATTTCCTAGCGGAGCTATTGCCAAGTCTACCCATTACTTTATTACCTGGACCTAGCGATCCGGCCAATGCTAGTTTGCCACAACAACCTATTCATCCGGCTATGTTCCCCCAGGCTAGAGCGTATTGTGGAAGTGCGCCGAGTGTGATTGGAGAAGAGAGAGAAGCGGGATGGTTTGACACGGTGACGAATCCATGGGAGGGAGAGATAGAAGGATGGAGAGTTTTGGGCACGGGTGGTCAAAATGTCGATGATGTTTTCAAATACGTAGAAGGTGAAGATCGTCTGAGCATGATGGAGGCGATGTGTAGATGGAGGTGTTGTGCTCCCACTGCGCCAGATACTCTTTGTGTGTATACCCTACATTCTTTCTTTCGCTTTGCACTAATATCCCCAGGGTCCTACCCATTCCAAGACGCAGACCCCTTCATCATCAACACATGTCCGCACATCTTTTTCGCCGGCAACCAACCCTCTTTCGATACAGCCAGCATCGAGGGACCAGATGGCCAAACCGTCAGATTAATATCGATACCGAGTTTCGAGGAGACGGGCGAGATTGTATTACTAGATGCTGAGACGCTCGAGGCGGAAGTGATAAAAATTACGGTTGAGTAGGTGAATATGGTGTGGTATCTTGGTAAGATATGTGAAAGAAGAAAAGAGGGAGGAGGGAATTTTACGAGTGATAGATGGATACCTACTTACCCTACCTAGGTACTAAACTAAACACTTGTCTCATCTTATCCACCAAGTACCTAATCGTTGAAAGATCACGATGATTCATTTGCGAAGAGCTAGATAGATAGAAGCTAGATAGAGCAAAATTCCAATAGCTTCACATACTCTAGAAACATGAATCACAAACTCTAGATTCCATCGAGTAATTAAATGAAATCTAAAAGTAGCCCCCCAAGAATTACATAAGTAGGTAGGTATGTACATCCATTCCAAACCCTCATGTATAGATATGTGCAATCATCCCAACCCCTATCAAAAAAGGGGGATCATCTCGCTTCTACTTATTCTGAACAAGATGTTCAGAGAATCCCAGCACACGTATTCCCCTATCTCCGGTTATTTTCATATACCCTCATACCCTATAGCTATCCATCACCACGCAGCAAACAAGTTGAGAAACGACCTAGTTTACTGTATATCAAACCACTCAAATAACGACGTATGGATTTTGAGTCCTCAAACTGCTATCCATATCTATTTTTTCATCTATAAAAAAAAAGGAGTAATCTAATCCTAGTGTAATACCTACTACCTCAACCCACTACTCCAACCAATGCAACCAAACAACCCAGTGCACTATTCCGCTCACAGCATAACCAGCTAACAGTAACGCTATCAAAAAATTCCACCGACCCATCCTCTTCCTTTTCCCATGCGCATCCGCTTTAACAATACAATGACTGCGCTTGAGACATCCTCCAAAATGTCATCATCAATATTAGTTTTCAAACCCGTATACCTAAACCAATGCATCCATTTCCGCTCGCTACACTCTAACATGCTGAATCCATTATTCTTTTCCTCGCTCAATCTCCCATGCATCAAGAGCCCAAGGTATAATCATCAAATTCCAAAACCTCTAGCGATAATCAAGAAACAGTCTGACTCAAGCGCGATCTACCCGGACCCTGCGCCTTTTTAATTGCTCTCAATTCTTCTTCAATTCTTCTCCTCTCCGTTTGTTCAGCCTATTATGAATTCATTAGCACAATCCCTTCAAACACAACAATTGAAAGCCAAAAAAAAACTTACCCTCAAAGCCCTCAGCCCCTCCGCCCTCGAGTCCCTCATCATCTTCTTAAACTCATTCTTCAGCACCGTCGTGCTCGTATTATTCATAGTCGGCGTCACGCTTCCATCCCCAGGGCTCCTCATCCCCAAATTCCTAACCTTCTCATCACTCAATTGACTCTCAAGATTTTCCTTCTCATCCCTCAATTTATCAATATCTGCTTCCAACTTCTCTCTCTCCTTTTCCCATTCAATCGACGCTTTGGTCATAATTTCATACTCTTCTATTGTCTCTTCAAGCTCCTTTTTAAGTTCCTTAAGCTTCGCCTCCGCTTCCGCGCCATTGGCTGTTGGTCCAGGAGATCTGGCTGCTTGGAGTTCCGCAATCTCGCCTTGAAGCATGAAGTTTTTATTATGAAGTGCATCCATCTGTTCTTGTAACGCCTTATTCTTGTTTGTCATAGCATCAATTTCCCTCTGAATGGCTGGATTCGAGGCAACTTCTGCAGCACGCTGAGCTCGTGAACCGTATGCACCATCGAGTTCTGCTCTCGCAATAACAACTTCCGTTTGCAATTCTGCAACCTTCATACTGATATCTTCCACCTCCTTTTCTTTCTCTGCCAATAACCTATCCTTCTCTCTAAGGGAATTCTCATGAGCAACTCTAGTCGTAGCCGCTGCAGCTACAGCAGTCGACAACTCCGCAATTCTAGCCTCATGACCACTTAACTTGCTTGTCACATCGGCACTATTGATACCATTATCATCTTTGAGTTCCTGGAGTTCACTTTCCAATTCATCAATCTTTTTGTTGGCAGAAGCGAGCTGGTCCTCAAGATTTCGATTAGTAGTTGCCAGGCCAGCGATTCGTTCCTGCGAATCACGAGCCGCGATTGCAAGTTGTTCTTGTGAATCACGATGCGCATCAGTAAGACTACCAATTCGCTCGGAAGCTTCACGATGTGAATTGGTGAGCTCTTCTTCATGTAGACGACGGGCTTCGGCAAGCTGTTCTTGTAGTTCTCGAAGGGCAGCGGAATCCTTAGCTTGCGCCTCGGTATCCATCTTATCTGCTTGTCTAGCTTTCATCAATTCAGTCATGACGCTACTGAGTTGTTCTTGGAGATCGGCAGCATTGCGTTCAGTCCTCTCGAGAAGACCTATAGTCTTGTCAAGCTCTTCTTGCTTGCTCACAAGCTCGGCATCCTTCTGAGCATCGGACTTGTTATTCAGTTCTCGCTGTTGTTTGATTTGTCTCTGAAGAACCTTCTTATGCTCCTTCAACTTGGTAGCCGAAGAATACAGCCACTGTACCTTGGCAGAGAATGATTGAAGTGTAAATGGTTCATTTGGATCACCCATCTCAGAACCAGTATCAGAATCATCCCGAGGAACACGACCATTCGCCGCACGGATTTGTCTCCGCTCCTGCTTCTGTTTTCGAATTTCCTCTTCTCCGGATTGTATGATATCCCACAGACCCATGAGCACGGCTTCCATTTGATCACTATCTCCAGATTTACTTTTGTTGACTGGAGGATTAGCAACTATTTCAGCAGCCTTCGTAAGCTCCTCTTCTACCGAAGCAATAATATCCTGGAAATAGTACAATTGCTCCCTCAAGCCAGTTTGTTGCCCGGTGATTGCTGGCGGCTCTTGTAATTCTGGGTGTGTAGGAGAAAGGAGACCCCTGACCTCGCGATTCAACTCTTCCAAAGTATCTTCCATAGAAGCATTTAATTCATCTGCTTGTCGCTTGGAAGCGGTATACTCTAAATCAAGAGTAGCGATACCCTTCTCCAAATAATCAAGATGACTTTGTAAAGTTTCTCCAGGCTGAGTTGGCTTTCCCTGAGCGTTGGTTCTTGCAAGTGGTACTGGATTATGGCTTGCATCATGGTCAGGATTGGCCTTAATAATTACTTCTCTCAAAGCAGAATTAAGATCCTCCAATTTCTGTTCAGTAGTTGTAATGAGTTGCATATGTTCTTTTGACCTTTCTGTAGACGGCGTTTCCAATGCCTGATTCATGCCAAAAGCACCGAAAGATATATCCAAAGGATCCAATTGTCGGTACAAGCTCCTTTCATCAAATTCATCCTCGATCACTTCAAGACTGTTCCTAGCATTATGATATGTATACATACTTTCCGGACTTCCAGGGGGTATGCCACCTTGACGAGAATCATCTCCCCCTGTATCTCTTTTCGGACCCTTATGCGTCATCTGAAGAATACCCGCTGTGTGCTTCAGTAATCGATGCTCCGGCTCAATCAATCTCTTTTCCAGAGACCATAACTCGGCCGCCAAGTCTTCACACTTCTTTTCACTGGCCGCGCGCTCTATATCAGCTTCCCGAACCTGATCGCTATTGCTTCTATTCCTATTTCCAAATATACCGCGTTTCTGTTTATTGGGATCATTCAAATCCACACTCTTCTTCTTATCCGGATATAATTTTGTCATAGAACGAGCCGCATCGCGATATTTCGAGTGGACCACCAGATTTTGTCGCGCAGTCTGGATTCGTTGGTTCAGGGACTGGCATTGTTTCTTCAGATCGTCGACTTCTTCTGGAGACAGAATTTCATACTCCTTCGCATCCCATAACGCTGTTTCCACTAACAAATGTACTTGTATAGGATCGTTGATATTGAGTAACATAGAACTTTGCGGATGCGCCGTATTTGCCTATGTCATGACAAAATATTAGTCTCTGATTTACCCTCCAAAGTCTTTCGCACAGGAGCAATATGCAACTCACCGGATTGTACCGCGTCTGTGGCTCCTCAAACCCATTCAAAATGTCCGCTCTGTAGCCTTCCAAAACAATCGAAGCATCAGGGGCCTGGACATCATATCTTCTTCCAGCGGCAGCGTTCTTCTCCTTCACGAGCCCATCATCATAACCCCTCGATCCTCTATTCTCCTTCCTATCCTTCTCTCTCTTCCTCTCCTGCCCATACTCATTTCCATATCCACCTTCATAACCATCTCCCTGTTGTCCATCATACCCTCCATAACCCAAATTCTGACTCGACCTACTCCTATGCTTCCGCGGTTCTCTCTCCCCTCTACTAGGCATCCTCCCCTCTCTTATCTTCCGACCCTCTAACAATCAAATTCTCCTTCCCAATATCTCCCCAAAATCTTCGTTGTCGCGAAGTCCGTCTGCGAAGTCCTCTGAAAAGGTATATCGAGCTGTATCGTCCAAACTCCTTTATCGCATGGTCACCCCTCAAATTCCCAATTCCTCTCGTACTTCTTCACAACCAAACCCTGCAAAATGCGACAGACACCCCAAAAGCAGTTATCTCTCCTCCAAAAGCTATAATCCAAAGGGTATAAAGGAAAAAACTCAAAAACTAATCGTCTCTTCAAATAAATTCGTAGCTCGTTGCATACCTCAAAAAACAACAACGGAAGAGCAAAGGAAAGTGTCAAGACAGGGTAGGAACCACGAATCCAACGTCCCCTTTTCGGTTCCTGGCTAAACTCAAAATGTCTTATTCACCCTGTCACTGCCCTAATGCGTTCAGTGATCAGCCAAGTATCCGGACACTATGCTCTGTAAAGCTTAATGTTATTTAGATAATCCTTCTTCCTTGCGAGGGACCCTTGTTTGTCAATTGGAGATGAAGATCCTTACTTGAGGCAATGAGAAAGTGATGTTGCAAAAGTCCTTCAAAAAATCTCACATGCAGAATGTTGAAGAATTGTGAGAAATTTGTTGGTTCTGGTACTCAACTCGATTATGGAGTACAGAAGTCAGATCTCATCCCTCACATCTCACATCTACAATTATCAGGCCATGCTGTACCAACTGACCCGACCGACCTTATCTAATAGCAACCATTGATAGGTAGGTAGGTAGGCACGGATTATGTGAGGTATCTAGTATCCTACCAAGTACAAAAATAGGCAATTCCAGATCGTGGCGAAGCGGCCATAAAAGGTCTCCAGCTCCAGCTACCAACTAAATGTTGTGGCGTACCTACTAGGTAGATACGCGATCTAGGGGTCTGGATAGTAAATCAGATCTAGCAACTGGACTTGACTTGACTTCTATGGCACATTTCAACAAGTTGATTCAAACTCAGATTGAAGATTTTCATAAACGTTTTCCGTATTACAGACAAGTGTCTACTCCATATAGTATGGAGGCAGTATTACTGTATCACCCAATCGACATGTCTAGATCCTCATCCTTAAAAAGGGGGAAGGAGTCGCGAAGGATCTTATAATTTCCATCCGATCATCTCCTTCTATTTCATACTCACATCTTCATCACATCCGAAGCAAGATTAGATACGATCGATTATCCAAGTATTCTTGTGCAAGTAAGTACTCTGAATTTAGCCACTTGTCGAGGGAGGGCCAAAGGCCTGGCTAGCCAAATGAAAAAAATGAAAAAATTCAACCTAGTAGTTAGTATTCATGCCCCTTGTTGTTAGTACCTGCTTGTGTCTGGTCTGATATCTCAAGACCATCAATTTTTATTTGTCTCAGTTTTGAGCGTTTTTACCATTTCCATTATAGCTAGTATCTACATTGCATGCATAGTTGTCGTAAAGGGTCTGATGAGCTCCCTACAAGACTTGTCTACACGTCTACTAGACTCCAAAACGGGGTTAAGTCACACATCATCACACAAAAATACAAGATACATTTCAGTTACCTAACAAATTTTCATCACCCCAAGACACCCCCACAATATCATGGTAATTATATTTATGATTTTTTTGCTCCCGAAAATAACGCTATGCTATCCCACGCTATGCTACTTTTGGCCCTTTTCTGCTGTCGTACGGTGTAGGTATATCCAATCCCTCCTGTTCCGCAATACTCCTAAAACGCACGTAGTCCGAAACGCGAACCATCCGAGGCCAAACCAGAATAAAGAGTAGAGTAGAATGAACCCCCAACCATCACTCAACCACTAGCCCATCACCAAAACAAATACTCCCCTTGAAATAACTCCCAAAAAATGTCGCCGGAAGAAGCTCGCTCCAAAAAAGTATGGTATCCTGAACCGCCCCATAAAAATCGCATGAAACCATGAGACCAACAAGATAAGATCCAACAAGAAGCCATTCTACCTTCACGACTTCTATCTCTTGAACATATAATGTCCATACATGCCACCCACCTCTGCTCTAGCAACTGGCACTTTTCTCATTCCCCAGTAATTAGCTCCCCACTTCCACTGTCTTCCTCCACAGTCCTTTTCACCATCCCCAGTCTTGTCGTCGCGAACCAACCAGTATCTTCGACCTGCTTCTTTTAAGCACCAACCCGCGCGCTTCACCAGAGAACTAGTATTCATGACGTTGAAACATTCTAGACCAATCTCGAGGACTTCAAGTGGTAGAGTATCGTTTCTGAGTATTGGGCAACTGGAACCGAATAAAGTGCCTAGATCAAGTTGAGGCTTTGAAAGATCCGAAACATCAATGTAATGTAGCGTATGTGGAACCCAGGAAATTTGCTCCTCAATACTGGCATCTTGGTCTGGTACAAATAATCGGCGAATATCAGATAATACCAAGCCATGACCCAAACCAAGCTCCTCGAGATGTTTTGTAAGTGGCAGGAAGAGTGGAATGTGCGATTCATGCATCTCGCTGCCCTTGAGACTCAAAGATCGAAGAGTGTTGGGTAGGATTGGGAGTAAAGCTGTAACCTCAGAACGTTTGAACATTTCGTGGGATTTGATATCCGAACCAAGGTTAAGGTAGACTAGCGATTGAACAGCTGGGTGTGTGCTGAGGAATTCGACTACCCGATCTCCTGAGAGGTAAGAACACTTGCTGATATTCAAATGTGTAAGCTTCGCTGTCTTGGGAATAGAGAAGAGAATGTCGTCTGTAATGCGAGTATGTGCGACATCAAGATGAGTCAACTGCGGAAGTCGTGGAATGAGTGTCTCGAAGACTGAGGATGGCAAATTTGTGCATTCGTGGAAACTCAATCTGGTAATGGGCAGGATTCCAGGAATTTCACAAGTGTTGATAACCGTGGTAAAGGAGTCACGGAAAGAAGCTGATGAGCAAGCACAGAAATCCAATGCTTGAATGTTCGGCAACTCGCACAGGAGTTTTTGAATGACCTTTGCATCCATGTCGTCATCGATATGCTCTTGGCTCAAAAATTCCCGTAAATTTGGAGTTAGGGACAGACATTCGAGAAGTGTTGCAGGAATCAAATTCAATGTCTCGGCGCGTTGTCTAGCAGTGAGACCAATGCCTGTTGGGTTGAAGTGAGAGAAGTCCAATCGTCGAACAATCGTGCCTAGAGCCGGGTAATCTCTGATGTGAGCCAGAAATTTGCGGAAGACTCGAGAGTGTGGGATGGTAATCTTCGTATACAAAGAAGCTAGAGTCGCTGAATGCATCGCGTGCGATGTAAGGAGTAGAGACATCAAGTCAACATTGCGTGGTGTGATTCCGCCTGGAGGAATATCGGTAACAAGCTGATCAATGATAGCGCCTGTTGAAGTTAGCACTATACCCAAAGTCATCATAGGCATACGTTGAACCTCAAGCTCCTGGTAATCCACAGGACTATTATGGAGTTGTAGATAAAGCTGTTCCCAGATGTCCCCGAGGAACTAGAGTCATGTGACTACATCATCACCCGTACCCTGAGGGCCGATTCCTTGAAGTCGATTTGGGCGAGCAGGCGCGTTCGTATTGTAAATTGAAGTCCAGTAATGCGGTTGGTGGAATTTATCACAAAGGGAAGTAGCTTACCAAGTAGTTCCGCAGGTAGCATCTCTATTGGAGACTTTCCAGAAACAGCGACTCCGACTTCTTCCACAACCAGCTGTGCCTCTGGCTTCAATTCCGGCTCAGGATTGGACTTTGGCTCATAGTCGCTGTCCCATCCCCAACCCATTTTCATGTTCCGTAAATCACTGTAGCTCTTACTTGCAATCTTACCACGTACTGCAATTTGCTTCCAGCCTCGGAAGCCATCGCAAGGGCAAACGAGTCCATGGAGAGTGCTGTGAGGGTTTGTAGACCACAACGTTTGCATTTCGGGCTCAACGGCTTCTGGGGGAGTTCTAGAACCGCCGCTGCTTGTATCGTCAATGGCGATTTCGTTTTCGTTCCCGTTCTCGTTCTCGTTACTGTCGACTTCGTATTTCAAGTAAGAGCTAACCTTGGAATCCGTGAAAGATTGAGGAACTCCCGAAGTATTTTCTTTGACACTTGAAAAGCTGGTCCTGTCTCCACGATCAGATGTTGGAGGTGTTATTGAATGCTTGCGAGTCATCAAAGTAGGAGCTGATTTCATCGGCCTGGTTGGCAGTGGTACGTTTGAATTTGCCACAGCCATATTGGATAGATTTTATGCTGCACGCGACCTGGAGGTGAGGGGGGGGAATCCTTTACAAGAATATGTAATTTTGAATCCAGGTGGTTGGGATTAATTCAACGAGGGAGACAAATAGACGGTGAATAATAGACAAGCAAGCAAGTCCTGTGATTCTTTTCTTCTTCTATTTCTTTTTCTTAATAAATATTAATAAAATGTGGTTGCACTCGCACTGTACAGAAGTTGATCAAAGGAAGAAAAAAAACTGAGATGAAGAAAATCTCTTAGTCACGAATTGTCTATTTCGTAAGAGAATTCCCAAGCACAATTTTATTAATGATATGCGGGGGAAAATCGAGGGGTTCTTTATGACACACGTTCAAAGATTTTTGGTATGCCAAGAGAGATTGGGAGGTTGGTAGGTTGGTAGGTAGGTAGATGAAAGGGATTGTTCAATCAATGACGAGAAAATGGATGGTAATATTAAGGAATATAAAAAAATTCCATGTTGCCTTGATTTTTTAGAGTTGTGTTTTATATGGTGTTGGGTTGGTGTACGGGTGGTGTACGGGTGGTGTGTTGCATATGTGCAGGTGCTTAGATGCTTATTTAGATGCTCAGATGCTTAGGTCGGTGCGTGCTTATTAGCTGCGTTAAAGCCTTTTATCAAGGGAGAGTAGCGAGAGTAGATTACACAGGTCGATGGATGGTTGGTGGTTGGAAATTTATGCTTTGGTAAGGCGAAAATGAAGGAGGGAATGATCCGTACGGCAGCTATCGATCTACCTGGGTAGGGAAGCTTAATGATTTGGATTGATTGGATGGATACGATTGTGGAGGCAAAATTTGACTTGAAAAGGAAAGTCTAGTGAGTGTACGGAGTAGATGGAAGGAGAGTGGAACAAACGATGTGTTGGTTGGTGATTATTTAATTGCGCGTAATGATTCCTGTGTTAATTGTCGACAACATCAGATATCAGATATCAGATATCGATCAAACGGCAACAGCCTGAGGCACAAGGTTGAATGAATCATTCCTAATCATAAATGGCCGTTTAGAATCCAAACCATATGATAGATAGGTAGATACATCTAGATAGGTAGATAGTGGTATAGAATGGTGTAACATCTACCGACCAATATCGTATCTATCCTGTAGATCAA